ACATACATACATACATACATACATACATACATACATACATACATACATACATACATACATACATACATACATACATACAGACATACAGACAGGGTAACTGCAAAGACTCCCTTTTGTGCTTCGCACACGGGAGTCAAAAACATGTCAAAACTTTTGTTTTTTTTCTCTGATAATTTATTAGTAAATGAACTGTGTGAATAAATTGGAACACACATTTATATATTTTTAACAGAAGAAAATCCAGATATTTTAGATAAAACCTTATAACAATACAATCTAATACACATGTACCTGGGTAGATGTTATGATATTCATGGAACTCAGAATGTAAAAACTGACCAATAGTTTTGAAAAATGGCTGGGTTTTTAAAATACAAAATTGTGTTGAAATGTTAACTGTTCACATTAATTAGTGATTACAGAGGGTGACATACATGGTGTACCCTTCGTTGAAACAAAATTACTTGCAGTATTATATGGCGACAAACCCCCCAAAAAAACATATTGCATGCACGACTTAGTGAGCAGCATATAAGAGACTAGATAAAGTAGGTAAAATACATTCCATCTGAAACTTTTTCAATACTCATTTCACCTTTTAATTATTGCTAACCAGCTTTTTTTTAATTATCATGCAACGAAGCCAATGGATCATACTCTAACTATGATAATAATGAAATGTACTTCCATAATGCATTCGTTGTGATTGCTAATATTTGGAATATGGTGGAAACTGACGATATTACCACATGGTATTCTGATTGGTTAATGACATTCTTGACTCATCGACTCAGAGGACACTGTGGCAGGTCAAAATCATGTCCAAGAAAACATTTTAAAACATTCACTCACAATAAATCCAAGTTGAAGTAAACCAAAGAAATACCAAGACTAAATAATATGTTATTTTCATTTTTAAAAATGTTTTATTAATACTCCTACAGTCCCTCCAACACTGTATATTTTCCCACATTGGTTTTTTCTCTCACTGCTTGAAGCTTAAATTAGTGTCAAAGAAAATCAAACACATAAAATTTTGCAGAATCAAAAATGCAGTTTTGTGATTAACCAAAATTTTAGAAGCTAAAATACATTATGAAAATCAGCCAAATAATCAGGTAGTTGAATTTGTAAAGGGGGTGTGTTTTGTACAATGGAACCTCTTTCCTTGCACAACTGTAACAATTCCTGTATACAAGATGTCAGCAAGCATTTTAGTCTCAGTAATTATGCCTACTGGCCACACCCATTTTGGTCTAGACTCATTTGAGTGCATTAGTAGCTGTCAACAGCAATTAAGCAACAATAATTAAATCATTAATTATGCACACAAGCTTTATCCATTTTGAACTTGGCCAAACTGCTATGATTATTAATAGTATACATGTAGTACACAATCTGCCAACATTGGTGAAATATGAAAATAACAACAAAGCAGCTAATAAGAGTACAGGAATTATTGTGATTCCATGTTCTTCAATTCAATACAACAGAAAGTTCAAACAACGACTACAGGCTATATACAGCTATTCAACATATTGGAATGAAGGTCATGGAGGTCACTGTAAGAAGTTAACAGTGAATTGAGTTGCCATCTCTAATCACCTCTATGCTTTCACAGTAAAACCTAGAATACTGAACTAAGTACTGACTAGCACGGTGTGGCATGTGAAAGCTATAACGCATGCAGTGAAACACACCCAAGTATTGTAACAGCATTACCTGTAGTATAATTTCACAGTCTTCCCGCCCAATGAACATCATTGAGGGCTGTAGATACTGCGATGTGCCAGCACTGCTAACAAGACACCAAGCCATGATTATCCCTGATATAGACAATACTACATATATCGCAATCGGACATAGGCACTCATGGCTCCCTCACAGGATTCCTGGATCCATGTATTCAAGCTACAAAAACAAATCATGTGTTAAAATCATATTCAAAACACACTGCATTGTTTAAAATTACATATTTTGTGAGACTAACCTGATAGTTCATTAATTATTAGAAAATAAAACGACAGTTTGTTCTGACATGTCAATGAAAACGAAGCATCGTGTTATGTAGGCCCCTGGCTTATCAGTGACAGAATCATAATAACATACATGTACAACGTGGTCATGATGATGTCATTACCATACCGCAGGGCTAATTTAAATATTAAGTATAGGATGAGTCATCACTAAGGATTATTGATGTACGTAGTCAATGGACAGTCTCATACATGTACATGTATATTATCAATGTATATTGAGTCAAATTGCTTCATGTGTTTTTAAGAGATCATTTATTTTCAGAAATAATGCATTCAATGTGGTTTAAAGATGCAGACGTCAACAATATGAAATACATATAATTCATGTCATTATGACAAACTGCAAAACGTGCTTTTGTGTATATTTGTTCTATTTTTATAATATGACTAATCCATATACAGTTTATAATAATATATTAAATGCTAATCTATGCAAATCGATCCATTTGAACTGATGTCATCAAAAGTACATGATATACAGTAATAATATTGCTTTTATATATGTCAAGTTACCATCTCCGTATCTGACATGCTTTTACTCTTAAACTGAATTGCGCAGACAGAATACATGTTGTACATTACATAAGTCATAAAATAACATACAAAGGTGGTTAAAATGATTTCTCTGCATGTCCCACTTGCTGCATGTTAACAATAAAAACAATATTAATAGTGTTTATAGTTGTACAGTACATTTGTAGCTCTTGCAATTCTCATTTGTTTTAAAAGGTAAATATAATTGATGTGGTCAAGTCAATGTAAAAGTAGTGGGGCTGACATGATTAGGGAGAAATCTTCACATTCATGCAATTTATATACACATGTATGTGGTTTAGAATTATGGTTTAAGGACCTCTGAGATATTTTGCAGTCTAGTGAAGCATATATTAACTGTTACACTATTACAGACTGTTGCTATGCAGAGAACACTTGTTCAAGGTGTTGATAACAGGTGACATGTGAGATCTGGGTTGTATGTAATAAATATAATACATGCCAGACCTTAGACATTTGTGCACTATTGCAAGAAGAATATTTGCCCTATACTATATAGGCACAAACTGCCAGTAATATACAATAGTTGTAAGTTTTGAATTTAAACACTATTGGATATATACAATGGTTATTGTAGGGAAGTCAATAATTTGAAGAGTTGTCATGACTGGAACAATAAATGACAATGCCTCTCTGGCAACCTCTATAGCATATGCCCTTGAGGATTGAAAACTGAGCTGTGCTATACTGTATGTACCAAAACAACAGAAGGTCACAGATACATGTATGTGCAATACAACTTGTACTTCACATGCCAGATTCACTCCAAGTAATAAAATATGATTTTTTGCATAGCATGTGCGATTATTCATTTCACACATTTCTAACAACGGGCTGAATACAATACCCAGAAGAAACTGCTAATATTAATGTATGGGCCAAAAAAACCTTATTATAATGATCTCAAAAAGATTAAATGCAATTTTTATTTATGCAATACTACCCAAATACAGCAAATATGGTTCCTGCTAAGCAAATCAGTCAATCTTTGTTGATTTTAACTGTTTATATTGTCATCACAAAACACTGTGATAGATATTCACGAGTTTGATTCTATACTGCGCAACAGGAATTACCAGTAGTGATATATATAACCATTCACACATCATGATATAAAACTAATCTATGTATAGAACAGACTGTTACTGTGTCATGTGACATGACATGACATCATTGTTAAGTTCATGGATTCATCCACATGGTACATGTCAGTTTTATTTTAGCTTCTTAAAGCCTTAATTTACATATACATACATCAAACCATTAGTTTGTCCCTTGGAATCTCTTTTAAACCAAATATCATATTTGTCAAGTGTCTACTCATAACCTTCTAGATCTGGAGTAAATTACAAAGTCAATATTTAGAAAGGTTTCAATCTATTTTTTCACAGAAGCTTTACAAATTCTGAAATCTGAGAAAACTGTGATCGAATTTTACACTTAACATTTTAAAATTATGCATGCACCAGAAACACAATAATTAACTTAATATTCACAGATGGCATAAATCAGGATTGTTTTTATTTTGTAAATATAACACAGACATCAGTACAGGTTTGTATTAGACTGTCAAATATTATGAAGTTGACATACACAGCAAGTGTTCCACATGAACAAACACACTCAGACACAATTGTAGGAACTATGCATGGACATAGAGTAGGTACAATTACTAGAGATGGACACTGCACTTTTAGTTTTGAATTTTGTTAAATATATGTAGTCAATCCCTGATAAACAATAACAGTAATTCACAGTAAGAAATCATTGATTCAGTGATCTTTTTCACAATTTATCAGATAATACAAATTTTGATCATGTCAAAGGTGTACAACATTTGTAGATTTCATTTAAGAATGTGCTTGGCACACTTCAAAAATCCAAACTTTCAAGAAACGTGTATATGGAGGTCGGGATTCATTCATTCAGAGATATTCAAACAATGTAACAATTGTAAAATTCTAACACCACTTTATTACCACAGCAATAAGCCTATACCATCTTTGTTGGGATCTACCATGGTGGTGCATCTCTCTGTAAAACTGATTATGAAGGTGTTTTCACGGTCAGACTACTAATTCATGTTCATATGACTCAACATTAGCTCCACACCAGCTGCCTAGTTAGTAAACCTGGGAGTGGTGTACATGTAGCAGTTGATGTCAAGGTTTGACATAGAATTTATTCTTGGCTATTAATCACACATACATATGGGGATTATATTATCCCATTACATTTCACTCCACCTGTCCTCTGACCTTACATGAACTTGAAGACATAAAAACAACATCATCCATGATACCCACTTCTCAGATGGCTATCTGATTATAGCTACTTGAATAGAAAAGAACATTCCCTGCTGCAAATGTCTGCATGTGTCATAATGTTTGTATGATAAAAACAGGATTGCCATGTCAAATGGGTTTTTATAAATATTCAAAGTTAAACTCTGATCTTCACTAAGCTGGATAAGTAATCTGAACAAGCCAGTAGAATGGTTGCCGATCCGCTCTGCTCAAAAAGCAAGCAACATGTTGTTAAATTTATTATTTCCAACTGTTTTGTGATAGTATTTTCTAGATTGAGAGCAGCATTTACAGTTCATTCAAAGTTGCATTGGGATTACGTTGATACAGTGTAACAATGTCAGTGCCAGTGATCTCTTACCAGTGCGCAAAGTAGCCAAAATAAAAAAGCATGATCATTTGAGCACTGCTATTACAAGACTGGTAGGAGGTAATCAATTTGGGGTGAAAGTATTCAAAAATCATGGCAATGGTGGGCCAAGTTTTTTTTCAATTAGTGATGGTACGACCTGCCTGTCAAGTATGGACAAAATCAGCCAAGCCAAAAAAAAAAATCACAGAGCAGTTAACAGCCGTTGCTGGTGAAAAGTTACCCCACCTTTCAGGTCATTTTTTTCTGTAATGAAAATAGACATAAAAAAACCAGTAAATTTATGCCCACACTCAAGCTGAATAGAATGAGCTATGTCTGTGCTTTTTAATCCTAGAAATGTAGGGTGAGATGCAGATTTTTCCTAATAACTAGGGTGAAGGTGTGACCTACTGTACATGTTGTACCTGCCAAGTTTGAGCAAAATCGGCCAAGCCAAAAAAATCACAGAAGTAATAATATGTGAAAACACTGGAAATCACACAGACACACACACAAAGCCACAAAAGTGATTATAAGGGCAATCCTAGCGAAGCAGATCGCCAATAAAAGTACACCTGTTATCACTTTTAATGTTGTAGTTTATGTTTATGATAGTAAGGACATGTTGGTGCTAGCAAAATGGCAATGACAGAAATGTACATGCACAACTGTTATTATTCTTGTATTTCAAAACCATTTTTAGATTACAAATATAAAATTGTAACACTAACTATGATAATGGCAGCCATTCACAGAATTCATTGACCACATCTACAGTGAGATACATATTTAGTAGAAAGTGCCTCAGTATACATCAAATCTTGCCATTTAACATAGAAATGAGATATATACATAATATTCAGCTAATGTGATTTGCCTCAAGTGTTGGTAACATGGTACAGAAGAGCTATTAACACTGGGGTGAAAAGAAAATCTAAGCTATTAAAGTATCTGTATAATCAGGTTGCAATTGTTATAAATATAACAAATATAAAATTGTAACACTAACTATGATAATGGCAGCCATTCACAGAATTCATTGACCACATCTACAGTGAGATACATATTTAGTAGAAAGTGCCTCAGTATACATCAAATCTTGCCATTTAACATAGAAATGAGATATATACATAATATTCAGCTAATGTGATTTGCCTCAAGTGTTGGTAACATGGTACAGAAGAGCTATTAACACTGGGGTGAAAAGAAAATCTAAGCTATTAAAGTATCTGTATAATCAGGTTGCAATTGTTTGTCCATTACAATCAAAAACACTAACTTTATTGTCTTTTTTTCCAGACTTTGTGTTTTATTACCGATATAGTCAATAGTCAATTCTTCCTGGTAACAAAGGATATTGCTTAACGTTAAAAACAGTCAAGTATTTATGATCATGTGCATTTTTATTTATTTCCATCTACATAAACAAATGTTATTGACGCCTGACAACCCAAACTGACCTAATTTATTAATAGACAGATTTTTTAAAATGTGAATTTCAAGATTTTTGTTTAAAAATCAACATTTGTATCAAATAGTTATATTTGGTGGTCTGCTATTTGTTACCCATGATATGGAAAATAAGGAGTATTATTGTCAGGCCATGGTCATATAATTTATTAGTAACGTGACAGCCATCACCCAACCCTACCTGTACTACTTGAATGCTCAAAATCAAATACATCTTATCTTTCATTTGATTAGGGTAAAATGTCTTTCTCACCAAGAATCAACCTTGTATCAAAGATACACAGACCAGCATATAGAATGAGTTGACAGAAATGCATATACATGCATTGAACATCCATACATTTAAAGCCTGGCAATCAATCATGTAAAATAGGAACAAAAGATATATAGGGAATTAATTGGGTTACTGGTATATACTATACATGTACGGGTATATACCGTATTCTAATAATGTGAATTACATGTATAAGTGGTATGTTCACTGAGACAATAACAATTATAATATAGGAACTATTCATTTTGTACAAAATGTATGATCAAACAATTTAAGTTCTTCATTGTACATGTGACCCATACAGTGTACTTTATTATGTACAGCTTTCTGTGGTCTAACAATATGATGACCAATTCATTGTCTAAATGCATAATTAGCCAACACGTAGCATTGTAATAGTCTAACAAGAAATAGTTGATATGCCTAAGAATGCTCATCATGAAGTATATATAAGATTCTATAAACAAAAATGTTAATGCAACATGAAAGGGCAATAGAGATTATTGAACTATTTACCTTCCAGATAGTACATGCATGATTGCTTAGAGCAATGAATTCATGTCAAAATAAACATTGCTTTGAAAACTATACGAGACATCACTACAGACTACCACAGAAAAAATGTGTTAAATGAAGAAATGTAAATTTACAATGCTGAATCTGATGCATAAAAATCAGGAGAACAGGTTGGATGATTATTTGGTTCATGCTTATAAACTTTGAACAGCATTTATGTCAAAAAGAAAAACATTGTTCTGTAAAAACAAAACTCAGAATAAGTACTCATAACCTACAGAATTAGTTAGGCAGATATAAAAGGTACTTTTATCAGAGAGACAATATCAGAATCTGAGCTATCTGAGATGTGTCTTCTACATGTTAAATGTAAAGCCTACACTGGAATGATTGGTTGAACAAATTGTAAGTAGTAATTTTAAAAACAAATTATAATAAAATGTTGCTAATACAAGGACAATGCATTTACTAATTGAATTATAGAAATACATTATGAATGCTTTGTTCTGAGAAGACATACACAATCAGCTGCCACATAACATTGAACAACCTCTGAATATAAATTTGATACATTCTTCTATACTTTTGTTTTACAATTTTGTTATTGTAATTTATACCCTTGAATGTGGGTACTATTTTAATGAAGTTTATGCATACACAAAACAGTTGGCAGCTAGAACATATTTTAATGGAATTATACTCATATACATGTACCATGTCAGTTTAGTATCTAGAATAATGTCAAAACATACTGGCACTGTGACAATACAACGTATCACATGCAGTCAGAAAAGGAGTGTTTTTTAGCAGATATGTTCAGATTGAAGGAAATGGTTTAACTACTGGTATGTTATTTTTGATGTTCTAGGCATATTTACTTGGTTTCAAGCAGTGATTGAGACTACTGTCTGCCGCCTAATCAGGCAGTAATTTTCCAGTCAAGCTTGTAAAAATTAAAACTTACATGCCCAGTGGTCTGGTAACATTTTTTCATGGTCTGCTTTCAATACAAGTTTTGAAAATAAAATTTTACAAAATAATATTGATGGTGATTACTTGGAATGGGGACAAAATAAAATAATCTTTAATGAAGGGCTGGTAACTTTCTGGCAGGGCTGGTGAAATTTAAAACGTTATCTGCCTTGGTGTCTGATACACAATTGAGCATGCATGGATCTAAAAACAACATACTGCATACTGTACATTAATCTTTTTCAAGGCTCATGTCATAATCTCTATTGTCTGTTGTTTTCCATTGAATTTTAAAGTATCAAAGCATTGCTCTGAAGGTGGAACAACAATCACCTTTGAGCTGTTTAATCACAAATTTCAAAGTAATAATTTGGTCAAGTTCTGCTCCAATAACAACACATGCTGTTGGTGGACAACAAAAATCAACTACATTGTATTTGCAGCTTCTATGCTTATCAATTGGATTTGTATCTCTAATGAAAGCAATACAGTATTCATGAAGCGCCTCCCCCTCCGCAATACATAGATTACAGATTTAAGATGTTGATGAGTTTACATTTAGAAGAAACAAGTTATAACGTTACGTGCATACACAGGAATAGATGCTGTCATGACGTGGGGTGGGGCATTACAAAATAATATACAGTGTAATTACAATAATTGAATTAACGTATACCGGTAATACTAGTTACAAAAGCCCACGAGAAAATTTTCCCTTGACCATCAGTTATTGTCCAGAAAATCACCTGGGGTGTTTTTTTATCAATAATACAGTACCCTGATTCACGTCATTGACGCACTCAGGCTTGGGTACAATTATAATGTACGTCGTAGTCAACAGACCACAAATATGGACCCTTTGACGAGGAATAAAGTGGTTGATCAATTACTAGCGCTAATAACGTGTTCTGGACAGAAGAAACACAAATCTATCAACTGACGGAAACCTAATCGGTCATAGCTGCGGTACAACACAACTATGGTGTTCACGAATCGAATGTATGAATTTCAATTTGATCCTTGTTTGGGACTTTCGTTGTTTAGGCCCAGGCGGAGATATCGACGAACTTCCACAATATTTGACGGGATCGGAATGATACATTATAACAAAAGATCGTATAGTACTTACTGGAGAAACTGGGAAACACCGACAAGTCGACAAACGGGAAATAAGTTACTTTTGGCGTTTTCTACATGTACATTCCAACCATCACCCAGGATGACCGTAACATATTCTTTTGCACATGCGTACAAGTAACATATTCATTGGCTACGAAATCAACCTCGTTTCCAAACAGGGGTCACCGGAAATCAACAGCCGTGGCGAGTGCTTCGGACAAATATACATTTTTTTTAATATGGACAGTTTGGAGGTACTAACCGAATACCAGAAACATGTTCGAGGTAAGCAACCAGTTTTATAAAAAAAGTAGTTAGTCTTAAATTATCTGACATTGGGGTTGTGAAATAGCGGTCTTTACAATAACAAGTTACAACATATAAGAAACTACAAACAAGGAAAAAATGCCACATCAACACAAAATTACTTTCACACAATGTATTTTTTGTGATCTACTGTGTATAAATTGTACACATAAATGACAACAAATACACACAAAGTAAAGAGTGCCACGGAAACCGTGAAGTTATGCTTGTTTTGTTTACGTTGACCAACGGCAAAGAAATATGCCCGCCGTTAACTTCGGGTCACCACCTGGGCCAATCAAACCACAGTTACCATAACAACGAGGTCACTCTGGGGTTACAGGTCTTAAGGTAGCTGTCTAACCATTAGTTAATTTTAAAACATTTTCCCTTGACTTTTACAATATTTATGCTTTTGCTCAGATAAAAAAGTATGCAAACCAAATTATTTTTTGCTCATAGATACTATAGGTCAAACAAACATGGAAATGGCAATTTTTAAGCCATTACGTGCGTATAATAATGATAATAATTTTATTACGCAACTTAACCATCTGTGGGTTTAGTAAGGTAAAAAATGATTACAAGAGACAAATAAAATAAAGACACACTAAAACACTAAAATTAAAATACACTGAAATTCAACAAAAGAAAGAAATACAAATTAGAAAATCTTGAAAAATTGATTAAACAGCAGCAAGGTTCTCCCAGTATTTTAAAATACTTCAAGACTTGTTTTCTCTCTACTTATTATATAATATATAATATAATACTTTATTGACATCATTCTGTTTGAAGAGAAGATACAGTCAAGTGCTAAACTAATAATTAAAATTAAAAAAAAAAAAAAAGGAAGAAATAAATATGTAATTTAAATAAATACATATTTAAAATTATGAAATATTGATATATATATTTAAAATGCACCACATTCTCTAATATAGTTCGCAAGTTCTTTATCTACATTGCTCATAATGTATATGAACTTGTCATCTGGTTTCATC